GCAGCAGCAGCAGCTGAGAATGTATGAGAAGCGCAAATCCTCAGGCCCTACCCCAGGCCTACTGAACCAGGAATTCTGGGGATGGGGTCCAGTAACCTGGGTGGAAACAAGCTTTCCAGGGGCGTCTGACCACACTCAAGTTTCAGAACCCCTGGTCCAGTGTCTCCCGACAACCCGCAGCTTGCACAAGTTTACAAGGTGAAGTTGCCCCTTCCTTTTAAGGGTGGAGGAAACCTGTGCTTGAGAAACGAAGATGGGGAGACTCTCTTCCACGCGCCTTCCCCGTGGCAGGTGGGACTCAGGCAGGGCTGCCTCCACAGACCTCCCAGGGAAGGGTGGCGCGGGGCTGGGCCCCCCCATAGGAACACACAGCTGAGCTGTCCCCATGAGCAATGAGTTCCAGATGGAGACCGGGGGTGGGCCAGTGTCCCTGAAAGTTACATGATAAAACAAAACAAAACAAACACACCCAAACCAAACAGATCAGCACCTAAAAAACCACCTTGCCTTTGTTAGAAGAGCGGCCCTGCAAAAGGGAGACCGGCTGTCTCAGTCCACCCAGGGCTGAAGGGTTCCACGGGTCCCTGTGCTCCAGCCCAGCCAACAGCTACTGGAGAATTCTTTCACGCCATCCCAGGCCTTCCCTTCCAGCCCCTACTGGGGAGGCCAAGTCCCTGGGTGGTGCTGGGGCTGCCGGCCTGCCCACTGCCCACTGCCCGCTGCAGGAACTCAGCCAATGCTGGCCAGTGGAGGAGAGGCCCTTGTGAGTGGAAGGGATGCAAGGCACATCCATGGGACAAATGGGCAAAAGGCGGACACACGCCCAGAAAGAGCGTCTCCGGAAACACGGCAGGAAAGGACACACCTTCTGCAAACAACTTTGTGATGGCGGGAGCCGCCCCTCTCTCGCTCACCGCTAACTTCCTAGCCCTTGGCACCTTGCCTGGCACCTGCTGAGCTCCACGCACACCTCGTGAACGAAGCTCCATGCCCGTGGGTGAGGCTGATTCCTTGGGGACTAGAGAACAGGCTGAAGTCGTGGATGTGGCTCTGTCAGACATATACGGGGCACAACTTGGATGCAGGGTCTAGACTGAGCTCAACAGGACGGAAAGAATGTACAGAATCTTTTCTCTGCCACTGGTCTCATCTGCCTCATATCATAGCCCCAGGCAGGCCATGGCCAGGAGGGCATCCTCTGTCCCTTCGCTGCCCAGTGTCCATGTCCCCTACTTGGCTTTTCCCTTGGAAAGCCACCACTCCTTTGACCTCCATTCCAGCATGCCAATGACAACGGTGGTCACATGGCCCAGGCCTGACCAGTCAGCTCATTCCAGCCCGTGGGACTCACCACCACTGACCCAAGGACAGACATGTGACCCAAGCTGGTCCACTGACAGTCAGCCCCAGGACTTGAGTTGAAAGATTCAGAAAGAGAAGTTCCCTTTGTAGGAAGATTACTGACCGTAAGTTTGATGGAATCTGGGAACCTAGAGTCCTCAGGGCCTGGGCAGGCCTGAGAGAAGGGACAACCCAGGGGAAACCAGAAGACAGAGAGACAGAGGCAGAAATCCAACACGATCATCGTATGGGGCCTGCCGTTGGAATATCCTGACTCGTGAGCCAAAAAACTAACATCTCTCACCCTAGTTTTAGTATGGTTTGAGCTGCTTCGAGATGCATCTCTGCTCTGTGTAACCAAAGAAGCCCCCCCCCCCACCACCATAGGACCAAGCGACACCTGCTCTCCTCAGCCCCAGAAGCCCTCAGGCCCCAAACCCAACACGAGGCACTCCCTACCTGCCTCCCCATCTCTGCGGCTCCCAGCTTGGCTCCAGGCCCTCGTGGATGGTCTATGGCTTGAAGCCTCTTACAAGGTCCGCACTGGACTCCAGTCTAGCAGCTCACCCCCAAACCACCCTCCACATTGTCAGGAGAACGGATCTTTCTGAAGAAGACAATACAGAATCAGGCCAGTTCCCCGAGGCACACCTTTGTGAGCTCGCGGCTCTCCACGGCGATTCCTAAAGCGTGGGGGGCCGTCCACGCAGGTAAGTAAGCTGACCGCAGATGGCACGCGGACCCAGCACGCTAATACACGGAGACAGAACGAGAAGCTTCGGCCCCCTCTGGTCCTCTTACAAGCCTCCTGATTTCTTTATGGAGAAAAATCTCTCTGGGGTCCTACCCGGGCCCTGATATATCTCTACTACTTGCTTCTCTCCCTTTCTAACAAAAAGAGGGAAAGCCTTGAGCTCGGCACCTTCTGCAACAAGCTAGAACTTTGGAATGTGTTTTGTGCCCGTTGTGTCTGTTTTTAGGGTCACCTTCTGTGTATGCAAATGACACCGGTTTTTCACTGACAGTCGTTACATAAAGCTTTCTTTGGAAATTAATTTGTATAAACACAAAAGTGAGTCTATTTAAAGAAAAATGAAGGCAAACAACAGGATGTAATAGGAGATGGTGAATCACGATTGGCAAACAGTGATTCACAGGATGTCGTGTGATCTCCTCCGCGGGGCACACGAGGCCCTCACGGGCTGCCCCTTGTCCACTCCTTCAAACCCACCGAAGGGCTCGGGACTCCCACGATGAGGCTCACAAAGTCATTACTCTGTTCCTTCTGCCTGATGTCCTTGTAAGGACCTATTTAACCAGAGCGACTCCATTTTGGTTAAAAGCCATTTTGCTGTTTGTGCAGTAAAACTTAAACTGACTCTGCCCCCCGCCCCCAGAGAAACTTATTTAGAAGCACGTCTGGGAAACCAGTAAAATATGGCCGCCAGTTCCTAATAACAGAGCCCAGAATACAAGGACGAGTCAGGCCAGGTGGAGACATCCAATCAGTAAAAGTACACATATCGTCTCCCTAACCACCAAAGAATGTAAACTCCGCCTTTTCGGTGCCAAACTTGAGCGCCAATTGTGACCAGAGTAATAGGTTCGTTCAAACAGGTACTATAGGGTAAATTATAATTCAATTGGCCACCTGTGTGTGACCTAACAGGACTGTGCAACGATACAATCTCATTGGCCACCTACGTCTGGCCAGGCTTTTGCTCTATAAAAGTTAGTCTGTGAGACTGGAAGGGGTCGCTCTCTTCAGAGGTGGCCCAGACCGGTCAGTCAATCAATTCTTGAGGATGCAAGGTGGGGGGTGGTCGCTCTCTTTGGAGACGGCCCTGGCCGGTCAGTCTGACTTCTAATACTTGTCATAAAATAAAACTTTAAATAACTTTCACTTTGTCTCGGTCTCATTTCATTTAATAACGGACCTAACAGTCCTTCCCTCACACCCTCCTTCTTGGCCTAGAATAATCCTGTTTTTTCCTGGAGACCCAGGTGAACGCTGCTGTCTACTGCGGCCCACCTATTCGAAGATCTCGTGGCCACCTGTGTTCTCTCGGACCACGTTTTGGGGACTCCTGACACCAAGGCCTTCCCTGTGAGGCTGAGAGACCCCAGGAGACCAGAACGGTCTTTTCATCTCTGTGTCTGGCACAGAAGCTTGGTTAGCACGGGGTGAATGGAAGGGACTCCCATGGTGGGGGGTGTGGATCCATCAGATGCAAGCATATCGGGAGACCACTCAGACCCAGAGCCCAGACAGCAGCAAGGGGAGGATTGCTAATGGAAGGGAAGGGGGAAGGCGTGATCTCCAGACGCAGGTGCCCGAGGCTGGGCCGCATGGCACAGCCGGGGGATTCCCTCTGGAAAGAGGAGGACGTGAGCATCCCAGGCTACCGGGTCCTGCAGAGGCCTGGAACACAGGGCCTGGCAGGCCAAGCTTCTCGACTTTAACTTGCATTTGGATCACCTTTGAACTTGTAATGCCAATTCCTAAGCCTTACCCCAAAGACTGACTCGGGAGGTTTGAAGTGGGTCCTGAGCTACACTTTAAAAGGAATGCCTCGGGGCGTCTGGGTGGCTCAGTTGGTTGAGCAGACGATTCCTGGTTTCAGCTCAGGTCATGATCACAGGGTCCTGAGATCGGCCCCGTGTGGGGCTCGGCACCCAGGGGTGAGTCTGCTGGAAGATTCTTTTTCTCCCTCTGCTCCTTCCCCCACATTCTCTCTTGCACAGTCGCATGCTCTCTCTCTAAAATAAATGAATGAAAAGAGGAACGGCTCAAGGGATGCTGAGAGCCACACTCTGGGAAGCACTGGGCCACAGGTGTCAGGTACGAACACAGAGAGGTAAGGGCCTAGCAGACAAAATGCAGAAATATGTCCGAACAGCAAAGTCCCCCCAGCATCGCATCACCGTCTGGACACCAAGAGCCCAAAGACCCAGTCCACCCAAGAAGGAGCGTTTTCAAGGTTATTTAAAATATGCCCCCAAATAGTTCAACGGAGATGTGTTTCATGAGGGAGAGCCACATACACGATCACAGGCAACATGACAGGCCGGCCCTGGAGCCATCCATCCAAAATACAGAATCTCTTGTTAGAGACCTTCTCAACTAGCGATTGTGAGCAGGAAACTTAACCCCTCCGAGTCAGGAGGAGGCCACTTCTGGCTAAAGAAACCCTCCTTTGTTTGGGTGACCAGGCAATCACATTGTTGGTAGATGAAATCAAGGCCAGCCAGTGAAAGGGAGGTTTCTAGCAGAACTTGCGGCAAAAGGGCTGTAAGGGCCAACACTTGGGTTTGCTACTGATCGCCTCTGGCCAATACTTGGGTTCGCTACCGATCGCCTCCTGATGGGCGAATTAAAATAGAGAAGCGAAAGCATGTGCACCCGTGGGGTCTTTAAGACCAGCCCGGAGGCTGCCCTCCTTCCAAGCTCTGGCCTTCAGAACAATCCAGGCCCAGCCACTCATCAAATGGAGATTGACTTTTATCTGATTAACCGATGGAGAGACATCCTCTTCCATCCCGCGGAACGTTCTGTGGGAAAGGCGTTCTGCAGACTGCAGGGAGAAGTCGGGCCTTGGCTTCCCTCCTGCTCGGCCAGTGGAAAATTACAAAGGAAGGAAGGCTCTCCTTCGCTCTGCTCACCGGTTCTTCCTGGGCCCAGAAAACACAAAGAGAACCCCGGAAACAGGCGAGCCTTTACTTACCTGGGGCGGAGAGCAGTCGGGGAGGCGGTGGGGGCGGGGGTGGCGGGGGCAGCAAGGGAGGGGGCCGGCACTGGCAGATGTGTTGGCAGCTGTCGGTCACCTTGGAGCAGGACTTCTGGGGCTCCCCGTGAGTCACCTGCAGAAACAGGCAGGTGCCCGGGAGAAGACCGTGAGGCCACTGGGAGCCAAAACGGGCCTACCCCACCCACTGTGAGCCAGGCTGGAACTCGGGATCCTGCCCCCAGACCACCACAGGCAGAAGGCAGGAGTTGGGGTGGCTCTAAGGGAACGGTGTTGTGGGCAGCCGGCCTGGTGGGTTTAGAGACCAAGCTTTTATTCCCAGCTCTGCCAGGGACCGGCTGTGAGACCACAGCACGTGACCTGGCTATTGAGGGGGAGATGAGGATTTGATGGTTAACTCTTAGAATTTCCCTGCCACACAAATGAGGGAACTGAGGCCCAGGCTGCCCGAGGTTCCCACACCCCGGGAGGTGACAGGACACTGATTTGACCTCATCAGTAACCTGAGCCAACCACTCCTGCAGTCTTCCTCTGTACAGCACAAGGCCAGGCCCTCCCCTTTTCTCTGCCCACAGGTCCTGACAGCCTTCCTATGTCCTCGCAGGGCCAAGGTGCCCCCCATCTGGAGGGAGGAACCTTACCCAGCCCGGCCAAGTGAGCAAAGGCAGCCTGAGGGGTCTTGTGGGAAACACAGCGGGCCAAACCATCCGCATGCTCCTAACAATCCCTGGGCGCCTGCCCACAGCTCAGGAGCTCACAGGGCCACGTGGTTCTGCTCCAGAGGCCCCTGACGACGTTTCCAGCCCCACCTCACTCCACACTCTCAGCTTCTGCTCTGCTCTCAACGCCCTTCCTCTAGTCCCTGTACCCTGACCACGCACCACCCTCCCCTTTATATACGCTGCTCCAATGTTCTAGAATGTTCTCAGACTTGGTCCATTACTCAGCTTGGCTATCAGCTTCTCAGGCAAACCCCTCTGATCAGGTCAGAGCTCCTTTTATAGGCTCTCCGGGCACAAGGCTGCTCTCTGTGGGGCAAAAATCTCCATTTGGGTGATTACCTGATTCCTACCTGTCTTCACCATTGGACTAGAGGCTCTACAGGGGTAGGGACCCAGCCTTTTATTTTCTCTCACTAAGGCAATGCCTGGCATCCAATAAGTATTTGGTGAATAAATGAACGAGTATTAAAAACTTGACCAGAATCCATGCCTCTTGACTCCTGGCCTGGTGTTTTTCCGACACTGGTCTTCAGTTCTGCACCTGTCAGCCAGGATGGGGCCAGGCTCGACCAGCAGTTCCCAGACCTGGGTGCACATGAGAACCTCCCAGGGAGCTTTAAAAAATACTCACGCCCGACCCTTTCCTAAGACCGATTAAATCAAAATTTCTGCAGGTGGAACTGGGCATGGCTGTTTTGTGTAATTTGCCCAGGCTAGACTTCGACTGTGCCCAGGCTAGCCTGCATGAGCACTGCTGGTTTACACAAACCAGCGTCCCGCCCTAACCCTTGAGCCTAGGGTTCTGTGCCTGGCCCAGGGAACGAGGAATCAGGATTTAAAGGCATGAAGGGAAGGAGTTGGGCATCCTCGCGTCAGTGAAGCCCACAGTAACTTCTCTGGCTGTGCTCTCGGGGGAGTAGAAACCCAGAACCCCAGCTTCTCTGCAGGTAGCCAGCTGCGGCCGGCCATTGGGAAGAGCGTGCTATAGACGGCCTTTGGAGGCCAATTCTACCACACATGTCCCGGGCCAGCAGGGAGAGCCCCGGGGCTCTGATGCTCCCTTCACACTTGGTGGCTGTGAACAAGGTGGGTGATGACCACTGGGTGATGGCAGTGAGAGCTGGGCTGATTTACAGCCCTAACTTAATATCTACGAGGCCAGGAAGCAGCTGCTCACCGCCTTTTAGTGTTTTTAAAGGGCCACTGACTGCGTTTCAAACTCCAAAGGCAATCTCATCTCCCACCAGGAAGAGCAGATCCTTGGATGAGGAACCTTTCCCAGTTAGTTGGTGGGGATCCCTAACTCCCAGCGCAGCCACGGTACCCCCACCGGCTTCTCCAGCAGCGCCCCTCTCGGCTCTGCCGTGGTCATCGAACTGCCCTCCTCCAGGTTCTGACCAGCGCTGGCCTCCCAGGTCGCTTCTCTGCTGGACTCCACAGTATGCAAACATCATGCAAGGCCACTGCCAAAGCAAGGACTCTCTCACTCTCCGAGGGGCGATTTACGCGAGAGTGCGAGAGGAGCACGTCTGCTTAACCTGGCCCAACACGATGACCCATTTTTGTGAGCGGCTGTAAGGGCACGGATGTATATGAGAATTTAATGCGATAAAGTTATTGGCAGGGAAGCTGGGGCCAAGTTTCAAGGCTTAAGGAGGAGGGAACAAAGGAGTGCGCCTGGCATTTAAAAATAAAAATCTATGGTTCCTGGGTCTCTCTGGCCCAGGAACCATAATGGCCCCACTGGAATGGGAGTGCGTACCACTGCTTAACCCATCACCCTCACAAAAGCATCCAGTTTGGGGTATCTGTCCTTCTCCCTGATGGGAGGGGCCTCACCTGGGGTCCTTCACTGGAGTTTGGTCCAGCACAAGCCTGTGGCCACTGAGCTACTCTTAACTGACACCTGGTTACTCTGACCTTGATCCGCTGGCCAACATCTGGGATCCCACGTTCCCCGCTCCCACCCCCACCCATCATGTTGGCTCCACCCCCCCAAAGGTGCTGCTTCTCCCTGGGGGCACTCTGGGGCACCCTGCCCACTGCTTTATTATGTCTGCTCCCCGCATGGAGCCCTGAGATTCTCAGCGGGGGCAGGCGGGTGGGTCTGTGCTTCCGGAGTCCTAACGCAGTGTGCCTCTGTGCCTGACTGTGTGTGAGCCACGGCTCTCATTTCACCATGAGAATAAGTGGGAAAGGCCAGCGCCGTCATCGATGCTTATGGGGAATGTGGGGAGGACAGGCCCCGCGAGGCTAAGTAACGTACTAAGATTTCACAGCTCTGCATTCAGTTGGCACACAATGAAAAGATGTGTTGGGGGATGGTCCTCCCACCAACGGACAAACACAGGATCTATTCTGCTCCCAGCTCTGGGTCCACCTGGGGGTTCTGTGCTTGGTGGTGGTATTGTATTTAGACCAGTTGATAGGAGACCTCAGCATTGAGAGCCCATCTCAATGCCTGACTTGCTTGGTTTGTATCTTGGGGAGTCCCACAGGGAGAAGGAACTTTCCCTGAAGCCACCTGTTCTTGGCTGGACTTGGATAAGCAGGAGAAGGGGCTCAGAGAGGCCAACGACTTGCCTAAAGCCCACAGAACAGAAGCTGGCATCATGACTTCTTGCGACCACTTTTTGTCCGGTTTTGCTATCCCCTGCCTTCCCACCCCTGCGCTGCAGCATTGCCCTGGGGCCAGAATCTTGTTGCTGTTGCCGTGGTGGAGCGTGGGTTAAGGCACAGGTAAGTCCTGCAGTCACCTGGGTTTAGGACCCGCCACTGTGGTCCAGGAGCCATGGTGCTCCGTGTTCCCACTTACTCCTGACCAGTCCGTGCAGCTTTCTGGTTCAGTGGATGTCATGTCCCAAATAGTCCCTATGCCCATCAGTTTCTCCCCATTCCCACTGCTACCACCCTGAGCCAGGACACCATCGTATCTCCACTGGGCAGCACCTGCCTCTTACCTAGGAGAATGAGATTTTATTTTTTTATTTATTTATTTTTTTTTTTTGAGGGGCAGAGGGAGAGGGAGAGACAATCTTTTTTTTTTTTTTTTTTTTAAGATTTTATTTATCTAACAGGCAGAGACCACAAGTAGGCAGAGAGGCAGGCAGAGAGGGAGAGAGGAGGAAGCAGGCTCCCTGCTGAGCAGAGAGCCCCATGCGGGGCTCGATCCCACGACTCCGGGATCATGACCTGAGCTGAAGGCAGAGGCTTTAACCCACTGAGCCACCCAGGCGCCCCGAGAATGAGATTTTAAAAAGAGGACAACTTGTTAAATTTTAAAGAAACAACAATTTTTAGTATAAGTATATCCCAAATATTGGACGGGATATACTTACACTAAAGCATGAGGTGTTATTTATTTGAAATTCAAATTTAACTGGATGTCCTATATTTCTACCTGCCTAAATCTGGCAACTCTCGCCTCCCCAGTGTCTTTGCCCCCTTGTGTCACCCCCCGCCTCCCCAAATCTATCTTTTTGCTGGGCCTGGACCAAGACTGTGTCATTTCTTGCTTAAAACCTCAACGGCTCCCGTAGCCCTCAGGACCGTGTCCAAACTGTAAGGCGTTATGTTAGTGGCTTTCAACAATGGCCTTACCTGGGACTTCCCTCCCCTAAGTTCCTCCAATGCCCCGTTCTCCCCTCTGGCCTCAGGGCTACTCCCTCTGCCTGGACACTTTGTCCGTGCCCGCATCCTGCTCCTATCTTGTCCTTGTTCACGCTTCAGCTGCAGCACTGCCTCTGTGAGCCTCCTCTGGCTCTTCCGCTGTCTGCTCCTGCTGAGTTCTTTTGCCTCTGATTACTTAATTTTCTCTCCAGCGCCAGACTGTCAGTGCCGAGAGGCCAGGGACCGCTCCCTCCTTGCACTTCACAAAGGCCCTAGCAAACAGTAGGTGCCCAATAAATGCTGCTGATGAGATAAGCCAAGGTGTAGTGACCGATCACAGAAGGAGCTCAGCGCTGCTGGTGGCTCCCGTTCAGCGCACAGAGACCGCTGGACCGGATCAGAGCCTGTCTCCCTAGAGGATGCCCACAAAGATGATGGCTTCTGGCATCTTTTATGGAGACAGGCCAGCATCACACTAACTTGATGAGACACACTCCTGTCACATCTAATAAATTTGCCAGCCTGTCATCCTCTTGGCTTGCAAAAGAGGAATCATCTGGAAGTGAACTTAGAAGAACCCTGAATCACAAAAGCCTAGGATCTCAACTCTAGACATATTAAAGAACGGGGGAAGGCTAGGGAATGCCCCCACCAACCTTGTGGCAATTTAAATGTCATCCAACTCTAATGGTTATGTTTCTTACCCTCTGGGCGGCAGCCAGAGGCTTCAGGCTGATTTTAAGGTGGGAACCTGGTGCTGGTGGGGCGGGGGGAGAACACAGGTCTCCTCCTTCACCAATTAGCCTATTAATTACAGCTCTTTGATATGCTGGTCAACTGTTTACAACTGTTTACAACTTTGGGGGATTCTTCTAGCAAAATGCTTATGAAAGCACAGACAGCTCTGACCTCTTTCTCTATATTCAAGAAACTCCTACGATGTGGCAGATTTCAGTCTCTCCACTTAGAGGGAACTTACATGGCCCTCCTGCACTTGTATCTTTCTCTTCTCCCCTCTGTTCTCCTGGACTCAGCTCTTTCCCTTAAAAACCAGAACCATCCATTCCAAAGCCCCTCTTCTCTTGGCTTCTCAGTCCCTTTTCATTTGTAGATTAATTTTTCCAGAGCCTCCTGCCAACAGTTTGCCCATTTTACTTGTCTAGAGGACTCCTTTTCTAATTGATTTTCATGAAAATTGATTTATATTGAGTAACAGCATCTGAAACACCCACGCGCGTGCGCGCACGCGCGCACATGCCCCCACACACGCACACAGAGGCATGCCTGCGCGCTTGGGTGAGCGCTGCCTGGCTGAAGGACATTGCTAAAAAACTGAGCTGTGGTCACAAAATTATTTCTTTTGGTGGTGACGGTGGGGAGGTGGCGGGTCTGCTGTTGGAATCCTGCTAGTTCATGCCACAGAATGCCAGCAAGATCGCATTGCTCTCTAGGAGTGTTAGGAAAAACCGTAAACAGACAAATAGAAAAATGCAGTGAACTTCACATCCGAGGCTCAACTAAAAGTTGCACAAGGGAAGCTGGTACCGAGCCGCCCAAGTGTTTAGAAGTGACAAATTCCTGAATCCTGAGGAGGCACAGCTGAGTTTAATAACTGCCATTTCACACATTAAACAAAACTGTCAATTCCGGAAGGAAAACAATCGTGAGGGAGACAGAGGCAAGCCGGGGAAGCCAGAGCAGGAGATGAGCCTGGGGCTGCGGCTGGGGCTGGGGGGCCGGGGGGGGAGACCCCAGCCCATCCACCTGCTCAACCAGCACGCTCCTTCCATAGCCTGAGAGTCCCTGGTGCTCCCTGATGGTCACCCAAGCCACCATCCGAGCACGACGGACAGCTGGGTCCCAGCGGGGCCCCATCGCCGTAGGGCAGCTTAAGGCCCGAGGCAGACCAGCAGGGGGGTCTCACCCCATCCCCTCTTCTTTGGTTGATCGTCCCCTACTTGGGGCAACCATCCAAAAGATCCCAAACCCCCCAAAGGCCACCAGAACCTCGTAAAGCCGCAAAACCTCCAGAGTTGGGGATTTCAATGCTCAAAACAGCAAAAATGTCCTCTAGCATCTGTGGAACCGCTGAAAATTAAAAAATGTCCACCAGACTCTGTCGTGATCAAGAGAGCGGCTGGCCATCCAGAGGGAAGAGCGGCATGACCGCTACTAGTATGGCTACTGTCAGTCACAGCCACCACTGGGTGGTCCAGGTGCTGCGCTAAGTGATCTTTACTGGCGTGGTATCATCAAGTACTTACAATAGCACAGTAAGGAACAAGAAAGCAAGGCTCAGAGAGGCACTGCCTGAGGTCCTGAGCCAGTGAGGAGCAGAGCTGGGGCTCAAAATGCAGAGCTGACACGAGTTCACTTCACCACTCCACTGTACCACTGACCGTGGACATTCTGGAAGGTACCAGGGGCCATGCCATCTGACCTTCTCCCTGAGCCTAACAGAAGTCACTGCGGCTGGTGGCCACCTGGCCTGTGCCCTGGGGTCTCGGGGGCCCACGGTGAGGGCTCCAGGCCCAGGCAATCCTCACAGATGGCTAGTTCCTTCCCACATCTCCACGGGGGGCCACCACACATGACCTGTCCACACCCCCAACTCCGTGGCCTACAGGAAACAGCCCCAGCTGCGGTAAGCCCAGTTTAAGAAGGCTAAGTAGAAGTTTACTAGTGATTCTGGTGGGAAATAAAGAATGTATAATTCTTAGGATCATTTTCTTTTTCAGTTTGTAGAAGCCTTAAGGTTTCTTTCCCCACATTTTTGTAACAATGTTATCATCAGGAAGGCACTCCCAGGCCCTTTCTGCTCCAAGGCCCTTTCCTGCAGGCCTTAGCAGGCCAGGACTGAGGCCTACCGGGGAGTCCCCCCCCCCCCCCCCCCCCCCCCCACCTTTCCAGTATGGACGATAGAGAGAGTGGGAGACTTTTCTTTTCCTAAACTCTCCGGGGGAGCATCCAGAGGCGCGGCTGCAGGAAGCCAGGGTCGTGGGAGTGAAGTACCACACGCCCTCCCCAAGTCCTGCCGGGGAGGAGGTCCTCCAGCCCGGCATCCCACACCGTCCGGCCACCGCCGCTCACCTGCACGAAGCCCCAGAGCGGGTGGAGCGCGCAGTGCAGCAGCAGTGAGGGCCAGCAGCAGCCCCGGCGCAGCACCAAGTCCCGGAGGAGCATCTCGGCCCGCGGCACCAGGGCTCTCGGGGGCGAACTGTCGGGGAAGCAAATGCCAGGGTCAGGCGGGCGCTGAGCGGGCACCAACGCCTGCGCGCACCCGCACACGGAGCGGTCAGGGTTGGGCGGGCACGCCCCGCACCCTGGGGCACCCTCATAAATCAAGTCCGCCCCTTCCCTCCAGCTTGCACATTCGCTGACCCTTCGTGCACACTCACAGAAGCCGACGTCCCGGAACCCCGAACCCTGGCGCACACTTCCCGAACCTTATGTGTATCCCTTGGCCCGGGCCACACCCCCAGAATCTTGCGTGCACACTTTGGCTCCGTGCACACCTCCAGAAAGAGCCAAGCACACTTAACGGAGCCCAGTGCATCTCCCCAGAAACCTCCCCAGCCGTGCACAACTCACTCCCACTGTGAGCACACTTCAAACCCGGCGGGCACCTCTCACCCTGCCTACACACCCACGGAAACGGCCGTGCACACCCACCGACCCCTGCCTGCTCAGTCGCTGAGCCCGTATGCACAGCACCAGGAAATCACAAGCTGCTTGCACCCTCCCTGCCCCGCCGGCTCTCACTGCGCACACTGCAACATGGGCACCTCCGTGCGCACCCCATTTGCCCTCACGCGCTCTCCCGAGCCCGGGCCTCCTGCTTCAGGGCGTGAGCCTCCCCCACCCCACCCCCGGTCTCCCTCTCTGCCCGCACCCCTCCAGTGCCTCACGCCACCTTGCCTGGCGGCGGCCCCGGCTGATCCTCGGCGCGGGGAAAGGAGGTCCGCGCTCCCCCCGCGGCAGACTGTTCCCGAGCCGCCGGACGGCCCCCATTTAAAGCCAGCCGCCTCCCCGGTCCCCCGCCTTCTAGGCGGGGCCTCGGTCCTCACCCTGGCGGCTGCGCGGGCGCCGGGGGGCTTCACATGCCGGGGAGGAGCGCCGGGCACCGGAGCAAAAGTTTGCGCGCGGCTGGGGCCGAGCGGGCTGCCGAGCGGGGGCCGGGCGCGGGGCGCCCGCACGGGGCGCAGGGCGCGGCGGCTCCGGGCTGCTCCCGGCCGCGCGCGGGCCGGGAGGGGCGGCACCCCGCGAGGGGGCCCGAGGCGGAGGGGGAGGGCGGGGAAAGTCTCCTCCGAGCAGCCTGGAGCCGCCGGCGCAAGCCTCCCCGGATCCCCGCCCTTCCCGGTGGCGCCGCGCGGCTGCCCGGGGCGCGGGGGTGCCGGAGCTCTCCCCGCCCGTCACGCCGGCCCGCGAGAGGCGCTGCGCGGGAGCGCCCGCTCGGGCAGCAGGGCCGCGGGCGGAGGCGAAATAAATAATGCACGAAAAAGGAAAACAGACGTGAGCCTCGCCAGAGCCTCGCCCGCCTCCCGCCCCGGGCTCCGCTCCCGCCCGCGCTCCCCGCCGCCGCCGCCAGCGCCGCTGCAGTGATTCCTCGTCTCCATCTAGCGAGGCTGTTGTGTATTGGGCGCTTAATAATTTATTTATTCACCCGCGAGGAAGAAGACTGCCAGCTCCGGGGGCTCTTGCTCCACGCTTGCCCTCCCCCCTCCAAGTTTCTCCGCGGCGACGGGAAGGGGCCAAGACCGACTCGAGGAGACCCCCTTCTGCGCTCGGTCCCTGCGGACTGTCTCCCCTCCCCCGCCCCATTCGGAACGGCAGACTCCCGTGGGTGTCGGGGCTCCAAGGTGCAAGCCGCCTCACCCGGGGTCAAGGGCCCTGTGGTCCCTTCCGTGGTCTCAGCCCGGGGACCTCCCAAGCCACACGCTGCTTCTTGGAGGGAGCTGCCTAGGGCCCCGGGGAGGACCTCAACACCTCAACCATGTCCAACTCCTCTGCTGGAGGCGAGATTATCAACAAGTCGGTCGCGAAGGAGCCTGCCACGCTTCTCGCAAACCCGCGGCCCCTGGCCTCCTAGACCGCCCCCCCACCCAGGGACGCGCAACCGCTGGGCTCCTGGGGTGTCAGCGCTTGGGAAGCACTTTGACAGATGGAGTGGCCTTCCAGAAGGTCCCGGAGGCATGGACAGTCCTATTTTTAGGTTGAGCGAGGGAGGGAACCAAGGACTGGGGACTAAGAGCAGAGTCAGACACCATAGTTTATGCCCTGAAGAAACATTTATTTAGTTCTGTTCTCGGTGTCTGTGGGCACCCCTAGTGACATAAACACCCTAATATCAACAGCCCTGCAGCCAGGTTTCTGACCAGTTTCCCAGGGACCACTCTGTGCAGAGTGCTGACCCAGGCGGCTCTCTGTGTAAATTCCGTGAGCCACTTCTGAGCCTGGGAGAGGCAGGGGGACAACTGTGAATGGGGGACTCCGTGCCTTTGAACAAAACCGGGGGGAACAGTTAGGGAGACAGATCACCAAATCAGCCACTCTGCCCTCCAGGGCTGTGGTGTGAGAAAGGGGCCTGCACTGAAGCAGGGGACAGGCAAGAAGACAAGGGAGGGGGCAGTCAAGGCTTCCAGGGTACAATGACCTGTGGGGAGTGAGGGAGTATTTCAAGTGTTGAGGGCCCCTTGGGCAAAGATGTGGAGATACTTGTTCATTCATTCATTCATTCATTCATTCCATACGTGGTGTCTGTGAGCACCTACGAAGGGCCCGACAGAGCGTTTGAGGCCGGTATACAGCAGGGAGCCATCACGGAGAGACCATCCTGGAGGGAAGGAGGCGTGGGAAGAAAATGTTGGAGAGGGGGCTTCCCCAGGTGACTTCCACTCAGGAGAAAGAGTCTGAAGCAAGAGAATGAGTCACAAAACAGAGCCACTATTTGTCAGCTGAGGTCAAAAGAACACTGATTATCTTAATGCCTTTCTACTTAAGCCCATCAGGGGATTTTGTTAAATTCAGGATCTCAATCTTTAGATGTGACAACAGCCTCACGTGTTTATATATGGAACTCTTTACCACTTAAAAAATGTCCCTGGGGTGCCTGGGAGGCGCAGTCAGTGAAGCAACCAACTCTTGATTTGGGTTCGGGTTATGGTCTCAGGGTTGTGAGAGCGAGGCGGGAGTGTGGGGAGTCTACCTGAGATTCCTGTCTTCTGCCCCTCCCCCCCCAAAATAAGAATAAGTCTTTTCATTTTTATTTTTAAAAAAAGATTATTTATTTATTTATTTGACAGATATGGATCACAAGTAGGCAGAGAGGCAGGCAGAGAGAGAGAGAGGAGGAAGCAGGCTCCCCGCCTAGCAGAGAGCCCGATGTGGGGCTCGATCCCAGGACCCTGGGATCATGACCCGAGCCGAAGACAGAGGCTTAACCCACTGAGCCACCCAGGCGCCCCAAGAATAAGTCTTTTTAAAAAAATGTTCTTTATATCATATTTTAATGCCGTTCTCACAACTCTGTGAGGTAAAAGTAATTGCCCCATTTGACAGTTTCGGAGACATGAGGAGCTCGCTGGGGAGGACACCGCTGCTCCCCTGGGATTCAGGAGTTCTGAGCCCTCACACACTTCTATGAGAGGACCCAGGCAGGTTTTACGTGTTTAAAGCCCTGTATCGTACATTCTGGTCTTCAGTGCTCCTGGACTGGACCCAATCTGTGTACCTCTGGGGTGTCACTGGGCCCCATTGCCTCCTGGTCCTCCTAACACAGTAGAATATCACAGCTTTATGGGGAAGACCAGGCTCTGTCATGGGCCCCCTCAAGCCCTGGCAGGACCACGGTTGGCGGGGGTTGGGGTCTGGCTCCTCTTACCCTTTCTAGACTCAGAGGCAACCCACAGCACAGTACCTGGCATGTGCCTACAGGGGCCCAGGTAACTCTCCTCAGAAATGCAGGGGAGTTGAACCTTGGGGCAAATTTTGACCGATGAAAGACAAGAGGACAGACCCGGTCCCTGGATTGCAGTGGCCTCCTTTGACCTGTGAGGGGCTGGCTGGGAGGCATGACTAGCAGTGTTTTCTTCTGAAGACCCGGTCTGCTCAAAAGCACACACCCTTGTGTTTCCTTCCCTCCTTGCTTGCTTCCTTCCCCTTGCCTCCTTACTTTTGTAACTTGAGGGCTGTATCCCTCAAGAAAGTATCAGCCTGCAAACATCGCTTCATGCTTGTGGTACAGTTGGGACCACAGGTGGCCCCAGAAAGCAGATCTTCAGGATGGGGTGTGGGAGCTGGGTTTCCCAACTGTCTGAAGGGAATAGGGACCCCATCACTGATGGCGAACAGGGTCCTGCATGGCATATAGTGATGTCACAATTTCTAAAGCTTCACCTGTAGCTACTGGGAATGAGATGTAGGTAGGAAGCGAGGCTCTGGGAGGTAACATGGCTGCCACACTTGATCAATGTCAGGAAAACGATCTTCATTAAGATCGTGAGGTGATGGCTTCTGACGGTACTGGAGGCTTTTTGTTTTTAAGATTTTATTTATTCATTTGACAGAGAGCGAGAGATCACAAGTAGGCAGAGAGGCAGGCAGAGAGAGGGGGAAGCAGACTCCCCGCTGAGGAGAGAGCCCGATGCGGGGCTCGATCCCAGGACTCTGGGATCGTGACCTGAGCCGAAGGCAGAGGCTTTAACCCACTGAGCCACCCAAGCACCCCTACTGGAGGCTTTTTGGAGAGGATGATGATAGGCTCACAGAAGCCATTTGCCAACTGAAGGCAAGCTGGTGAATGCCTTATGGTCACTCTTATATCTTGACAGCCACAAAATGGACCTTGCTGAAAATCAGCCTCCAGGAGCTGGTTGTCTGGTGGCTGAGCTGGAAAGGGAGCCCAAGCTTGTAGCCACGCAGGTGTCCTGGGTCCACGTGAGGGCTCTGATAGGGAAGGAGTCAGACCTTGTGATCTGGAGTCGAGACATTAGGGTGTCAAGCTCTAAAAATCTTGACCCCCCAAATCTCCCTATTTGTGCTGGCTGGTAGAAGCACCTCTCTCCTCCTGGCCTGGAGAGCAAGCGATGACCTAATTGCAGCAGTTGCCTTGCGACATGGTGCTCGTTCTCATGACAAGAGCCTATAGGACATAAGGGAGATGCCAGAACTTCTTTGGCATGCTATTGAAAAAGGAATCGAAGGCCCAGAGAGAGCTGGGAATATTAGAATCATCAGACCTGAGGATCTACCACTTGGCTATGTTTCCTGGGATGACCCCGAGGGCATTCCCTTCATTGAGCTAGAAAGAAAAGGCCCGGTGGGAGTGTGGGAAGCACCAGCATCTCTGAGAAGTCAGTGGGACCACAGTTGGTTTGCTAATCCTCTGTGTTTTTTTAGGATGTTACAATGAATGACTTTAAAACTTGAATGCAGACCTTGCCTCTCAAACCAATGGCATTTTGTTCTCAAGTTAGATCCAAGCATCATAGGGGGAAGTGAGTAACTCTGAGTAACACAAGGGCGGGCTGTCCTAGGTGCTGTTCACATACTTCCCTGTATTTGCTCGGTTCCCCCGTTTCAGCTCAGTGGAGAGGGTGGTCATCACCGCCATTGTCCCTTGTCCTAACACCGATGACTATCAGCCTCCCTCCAGGTAGAGCTGGGCTTCGGTGTGGTCTCTCTCCTGTCTGCCTTGGGTGGGGCCCCAGCAGCTGTGGAGGCCAAGCCCGGCCTGACCAGATTCCCAGAGGTTTCACTCCCACCTCCAATCCCATACTCAGATGGAGCCCCTCACAGTGGAGCTTGGGATCTGACGCCTCCTG